TTTTGAAGCTAGTGTTAGCTTAGTGAGAAAGCCAGAACAGCTTTACACACAACCCTGCAAGTTCATTCTGGCCAATTGAAGCGTCTCTGATGCAAGTTTAGAGAATGAAGACTCAAATCTGAGCGAGTAAACCTGTGTTTTGGTGCGTGAAGCTTAAGCTGCTTTTCATATTCATATCCTTGTTAGCACCAGAATTGAATGTTAGCTTAGCAAGAATGCTAAATCACCACTGGCTCACTGACTCCACTCTGAGGCATGTTTAGATATTAAAGACTCCTGTCTGAGCAGCTAAACCTGTGTTTTTGTGTGTTGAGCTGTTAGCTTAAGCTACTTTTGCTTCAGTATCCTATTCAGCATTAGTAGCTAGCGTTAGCTTAGTGAGAAGGCCAAACCAGCTTCCTGAGCAACCAGATAGGTTCATTACAAGTCACTGAAGCTTCACTGACGCATGTTCAGAGAATGAAAACTCAAATCTGAGTGCATAAACTGTGCAGCTGTTAGCTAAGGCTACTTTTAATTTATATCCTCATTAGCGCCAGAGGCAAATGTTAGCTTAGTGAGAATGCTAAACCACCAATTCCATCTCTTTGACCCTGCACTGAGGCCACTTTAGAGAACAAATCTGAGTGGGTGAAGTTCAGTGGGATCGGGGTGACATAATGACACATTTATCTGATTATTAATATCACAGTGGGAGCTTATTTTGTTTCTGCTGTATCTCATCTCAAACTTGGAGACCGTGTGCAGAGGAAGCAAAGGGGCATTTACAATTTGCATAATCATGCATATTCATAGGTCTTTGCATTCTTAATGAGTGTTGAGGTTTAGGGACACTTTCATAGTTTTTGGTATAACAGTAATAATAAAAAATATTTAACAATCTATCATTCAATATATTTTGTGTGTGTGTGCTTTAAAAAAATGTATTTAGGGGTACTTGAAAGAATCCTTCACTGAAAAGTTCATTAGGGAACCAAAAGTGATCCTTCTATGCTCCAAAGAGGACCTTTTGGCACCATTTTAAAGAGTATATTGTTGTGCTTGGCCCCCTTTACAAGGATCTACCATTTTTTAGCTGCAATTTGTTTGGAAGTAATGTAATAGCTCTTTATGCTAATCCAGGACCCCAAGTAGCAAAACAACAACAACAACAACAACAATAATAATAATAATAATAATAATAATGAATGTCCCATCATGAATCTATGGAGATGTTGCCTACATCTTCGTGCTACAGTCGCCAGTCTCCGGTATTATATTCACTTATTGGTGCAAATTCAGGGGGTGACAAGGGTTGGGGTGGCATATCTTTCCCACTTTTTGTTATTATGTCAGATCGTTTTTTATGAGGTTGCATAACGGTTGTCAAAAAAGTGCATAGTTTTTAAGTTGATATTGTCCAATAAATCTTCCACATCAGTCATATTGCATTATCATTGCAAGCTAAAACAGAGGGCAACTGCAAAAAGCTCCTTGTGCACACTGAACTGGACCAAGAGCAATGTGTGCAGCACTGCTTAGTACAGTATGTAGCCTAACAGCTAGCATCACCACCTTTTATTTGTATCAACATTACATGGTTATTGCCTTTGTGCACATATGTAATTCCTATTAGTTATATTGTTTGTTTTCATATTTTAATGTTCACATTAGATATCATAAGAATATAGTGCTTTGTTTACATAAATTTATTTATGTATTCCAACTTTCATGTAGTGCTTGCATCGTATGTAGGCTATGGCCTTTCGATGTTGGTCACCCCCACTTCTCAGATCAAATTTTCCGCCCCATATTGACCCCTTAAACTCTAAGACTTTAGTTCTTCATCAAAACCTCTGCAGTAGTTTCATGCTTAATGCTGTATAATACATACTGGATCATATCACTTAAATGAATAAACAGAAAAGCTGCAAAGTCAATGCTCTAAGTCAAAACAATGACATGGAATGAGTTACATTTTAATTTCGGATGGAAATCGTATGGTTTTGTTGGCTTATTTGGAGAATAAATATAATTATAATAGTCTTTTATTAGCCTGCTATACAGTATGAGGCATAATAAATATAAAGGGTTAAAACTATGGACTTATAGCTCAACTATGGCCTGTTGAAATTGTTAAAGCTTGCCTGAATGTGACATTTTGGTAGGGAAAGTAGAGGGAAAGTAAAGTATCCTTTACGCTGTAGCTAGAATAAATAAACAAAGTGGATGAATGAATAAACAAAAATAAATAAATGCAAAATAGTTTTTTTCATTTCCTTCTTAGAGTGAATAGCTGATTTAAAGCTTAGTGCCGTAGCTGAAGATACCCTCAATCTAATGAAGAAGTTAGGACCACAGAAGATCATGTTGAGTATCAAGACTTAATATGACAGGCAGAAAACACGTTATGATGAGTGACACACATAATAATCCTTGTTTATTCATACCTTGCTTGGAATAGCTTCCTTCAATGGAACGTTAAATGGGAACGTGTGTTAATTTAATGTATTATATATGAAAAACCTGATGTTTCTCAGCCTCTGTTTCATTTTAAGTGACAACCGATACAGAAATCTGACATATGGCCACATATGCACATATATCATAAAGGATCAGGCATGTACTTCAAAGCAGATGAACATATGTGTTATGTACACATATATAAGTATTAAAGATTTCACATATATGTATAATATATGGATCATATTTGGGTCTGATAGTTGGGTGAACACCAATGCATAATATATGGACTGTATATTTATATATATTGTCTGTCTGATATGTGTCTGATGCATGTATCGTACAAATGTGTTCACCTACCCATATACACACCAAAAGGCTTTTAAAAATATTGCATATTTTTACATATATGTGTAGCACATATATCACTGCTGCTGGACCAAAACTTTGTGTCTCCAAAATGGTAACTTTACAGGAGAAGGAAAAAACTACTTTACTTTTAATGTAAGTCAATGGAACCAGACGTTTTCAAAACATTTTAGGCCATTTCTTTTGGTCCATTCATCTTGAAATTTACACACAATGTATATGACAGTAGGTATTTTCAAACTATGTCAAAAAATCAATTATGAAAAAACAGAGAGAGAATTGAGGTTTTGGTCCGACAGCAGCAATACGTTTATATATGTTGATGTAAGACTAAAATGTAAGTTCCATATTTGTAAATGGGTGGCTTATCTATCAATTAAGTTGGCACATATGTCACAAATTTCTTAGACTATTCCAATGTTATTGATTATTTTGGTATATTTCCTATGTTTATTAGCCTGTTTTACATTACATATTACACAAAGCTGCATGTTATATAGCATGTATGAGTAATATATGACAACCATATAGGAATAATGTTTTCTAACCTATTGTTAAATGTATGTGTTGCACATATATGCTTGATGTATGACTGAAATATATAACCCTTATTTGAATAATTTTAATTTTAATTTCAAATTAGTTGGCATGTATGTCACATATATGTCCATATGTGACTAATGTAAGTTGCATTAAGGGTAAAAATCCATGCCATATATTTAAAGTCCCTACACTGCCATATATCAGATTTTCTGTGCATCCATTTGATCCATTCATTCATTATGGAACCATAAATGTACCAAGAAGGAATCAGATGAAGAGCCGAGGAAGCTTTTTCAATGCAAACACCCATCAGGGTAAACCTTCCTTCTTATTCTCTTATCAATCTCAGCAAAAATGGACTGATTCAAAGCTGAGCCACACGTGGAACGTTATTAAACTTTTATTAGCCCCCCCCCCCTCACCACTCCTCAAATAACGCGAAAAATAAAAACTGGGACAGAAATGTAAACGTACAAAATAATCCTTATACACACGGTGTATTTTATATGACGTACACATGCGCCTCACTGGCTCCTCTTACACTCCTTTAATGCATAATAAGAAACGTTTCGCGTTTTTACGCCAACCAAAGAAAGAGGTATAAAGAGATGGACATCAACGGGTTTGTAATAAACGTATGATGGGATTCTTTTCATCTTATGATTATAATAATAGTGATAATAATTCTCACCTAGCGCTGTGAAAACAGATGTGCCCAAAACAACACAGCGCGTGCTACCTTTGAACATATCTACGGAAAAAACAATGCAGATGTGTTCTCATCGGTCAGCTGCGTCAGAGATAGAAGCGTGTTGTTAATGAACACGTCATTTCTGGGAGATTGCGACGCTCGTTTGATCTCATAATAAGAAATGTGTTGATTTTCTTTTGAACCCAAATAAAAAGATTCTTCCAAAAATTTAAAACACGTTTCTGTGTTTTTCGCTGAAAGAATTAAAGAAGAATTCCACCGATTTGACGAAGAAGTCGAATAATTCGTTTATTAAAGTGTAAACAGAGCCATTCGGAGCGGTTCGATGTGAAACGTTCTACGCATTTCAAAAAGATGGTTCTTCAAGGGTTCTTTAGTGATGGCAATGGTTGTACGTGGTAATGTATAACACCAAAATGAGTTCTTGCCATCGTAATAATAGAAGAACTCTTTTTGGTGCTGTACAGAACCGTGTTCAGCACAATCTGCAGAACCATTTCACCATTTAATCATGAAGAGGTTCGACATAGAACCCGTGGTTCTAAATAGAACTATTGCCATTACTAAATAACACATGAAGAACCCTCTTTTTTTAAGAGTGCAGAAGCCTTTTAGATGTCAAAAAGGTTCTATAGAGAACAACGTACAACACAATCTGAAGAACCATTTCACCATTTAATCATGAAGTGGCGCTACATAGAACTCGTGGTTCTAAATAGAACTATCGCCATTACTAAGGAACCCTTGAAGAACCTTCTTTTTTTGGAGTGTAGAAGCCTTTTTGGTGCTATATTGAACCATTTTCAAAAAGGTTCTTAATATAACACATTGTCCATCAGTCTGGAGAACCATTTCGCTATGAACCATTTCACTACGTCCATTGAAGCATGAAATGGTTCTACATAGAACTCATGGTCTTAAATAGAACTAATGAACCCATGAAGAACCATGTTTTTAAGTGTGTCAGAATTGGTCACAGTGGTGGTGATGGGAACCAGACGTCTGAGGGGTTTAATGGCTCTAACATGCTTCAGCTAGACCCCCCAACTGTTGAATTGTGGGTAAAAAAAAAAAACATTGAAAGATTGTTTATGGAATATATGAAATGGAAAGTCTCACATTTGCTTTAATTTCGGGTGCTACGAGACAATTTCTTTCAAATTTAATTGATTCAGTTCATTATTTTTATTTTTAATATTTATTTTATTTCTTTGGGGGGGTGGGGGTCGCTGAATTATGATGGACACTTTTGGGTGGGCAAATCTAGAATGCTAACTTGTATTCTAATTTGTAGGCTGCATGGCAACTGGCAACCTTGTTGTAGTTATACGTGACTGTTGTTTGTGCAAAGACGAAAGTCAATTTTAAAAAATAAATACACAATAAAATCTACCTCATAGTTATGAATACGCCGTCCGAATGCTTGAGACGCTGATTTACGATAGTTTTGAAATCGAGTTTTGGCCTTAAACTTGTTTTCTCCCTGGCGGAGGGATACGTGCAGACAAAATAGTGCCTACTTTCTCAGACTGACCACTGTTTCACCATAGAAAAAAACCTCTCGATTTGGGTAGTAAATAAAGACGTTTGGTTCCGTTCACCACCACTGTGAAAAAAATCAGACAGTCATTTCACATCAAACCTGAACGGCTTTTGTTTACAACGAGTGGATTATGAGAAATGTTGAAACGTGGGTGGAATTCCCCTTCGAATGGTTTTCACTGGATTCTGTTGACCGAAATGTGTACAGCATTTGCACATAAATGAAACGCATCAACACAGTTTTTGAGTTCGCGTTTGGCTAGAGTTGCGTTGACGTCATCAGTCCAGTTCAGTTTTTTATGCCTCATGACGGAAAAAGCGCAACTTTTAGCGCGTTTTTCGTCACAAAGCGGCTTCGCCGAGTAGCCGAGCTGTGATTCGCTCATGTGGAGACGGTGTACACATCTGACTCAGGTCAGTTCGTTCATTATGGGACTTTTTCCTTATTATAATCATAATAATAATCATGACAGTGATGATGATGATGATGATGATGGTGGTGGTAACGCGTCGGTTGTCGTCTGTGAGTCAGTAGTCAATCTTGTTATAAAGATTGTATAAGGGCAGGGCGGGCAGGTTGCTTCCGGGGTAATATAGGGGCGTGGGGAAGGCGATGGAGCGCGGCACGGGCACGCGCAGCAGCCCGTTCTCGCGGAGCACGAGCGGCATGCCCACCAGAGTCTGCGCCGAGGCGTGCGCCATGTTGGCCGCCTCCAGTTCGGCCGAGAGCTGCCGCTTCCACTTGTTCCTGCGGTTCTGGAACCACGTCTTGACCTGCGTCTCGGTCAGCTGCAGGCTCGAGGCGAGGCACGCGCGCTCCGAGCTGCTCAGGTAGCGCTTCACGTCGAACGTGGACTCGAGCTGGTAGACCTGGCTGCGCGAGAACACCGTGCGCGTCTTCTTCTTGGCCGCGGCGCCCGCCTTGTCCGCGCCGATGCCCTCGCGCCGCCGCTCCTCGCACGACGCGCCCTCGCGCTCCTCCTCCTCCTCGTGCTCTTCCTTGTAGTCCGCAGACAGCAGGGACGGGGGCAGGCGCGCGGGACGCTCCAGGCCGTCCTGGGACTGGAGGAGGGATTTGGGGGGACCTGCGAGGCCGGCAAGACACACACACACACACACACACACACACACAAAGAGACGTTTGTTTTTATACTTTGTCAGGACGAAGAGTAATACATATGTCCCGTATGTATTATACATTTGCGAGTACCTATATGTAACAACGTCTCATATGTATTATATGTGTAATTATCTGTGTATAACAATATTGTCCCATAAATATTGTATATGTCTAATTACTCACATGTAAAAATATTTCATTTCATATTAAATACATATGTAATTATCTCCCATATGTATTATACATTTGTAATTACTTGTATGTAATAACAATGTCCCGTATGCATTATACATTTGTAGTTATATGTATGTAATAACAAGGTCCCACATGTAATACATATGTGTAATTATCTGTATTTACCAAGTGTCCCATATTATTGTATATTTGTAGTTATATCCATGTAACAATAATCTCCTAGGTGTACTATACATTTGTAATTATATGTATGTAATATATCAATGAAATATCAATGTTCTATATGTCTTGTATGTGTGTTATTACCTGTAATAAAATTACATTACATGTGTAAAATATTCACATGTGTAATTATCCCTATGTAGTATAACCTCCCACATATATTATATATTTGTAATTACAGGCACATAACAATAATAATCTTTCATATGCATTATGTGCAATTTCATATATGTAACAATATTTATTTACATACGTAATACGGGTGTAATTATCTGCATGCAATGTCCAGCATGTTTTGTATATATGTGTCAATATGTAATATTATGTCTTATAGGTATTATACATGTGTAATTACCGGTTTGTAATAATATCTCCCATATATATACTGTGTTTATAATTTTATATATAAGTACTTAAATATAATTTGTATGTATGTATAAAGGTCTATACATATGTAATTTTATGTAGTACCTATGTAATAATAAGTTTTCTTAGCCTAACTCAACTCCATCAACCAAAAATGAACCAGATTTTTTTTTCATTTTCATTATTAAAATAAAAATTCAGCTTCATTCTATTTGTTGAAGGCTGCTTTGCTGTTCCTGTCTAGGTGGGCTACCCCCCCTCATAAGCGAAATGTGGTTGCAATGGACAAAGACGCAATAAAACCAATGGTGAATGAACTCGTACAGAACTTGAGGTATAAAAATCCAACATCAAGCTTTTAGATTGTAGTTAAATGCTGTACGTTTCAATGCAACATCGCAGGTCTCAAATCAACACCTGGAATTTTGACACTTCCAGTGAAGTTACAAGATGGAGAAACGTAGCACTGTATTACTGTACAGTATGACAGCATAATCAAATGCAACCTGATAATTGGTTTCCTGTTACTGTAAACTGCGCAGAATGCCCCGTAAAATCCCCAGCGTTGGGTTAACAGCTGCAGTGTCCAGTTACCACCTACAGTGTTGATTTACCAGCTGCAGTGCTTGAAGTAAAATGCAGTGTAGAGTTCAAACCTACAGTAGAAGTGTTCGAACACGAGCCTCATTTCAACCCACTTGGCCACAAATAAGCACCGCAAAGACGCCGTTTGCTCCAGACTGACGAGTTTGACGTGAGTGGGCGAAGTTTTCTCATCTGAAGTCTCGCTTCGGAGCTTCCTCCGTGTCGCGCGCTAATTAATTAATCAGCTGGAGTATTTTATTTGTCCTATCCCGCGTGCCCATTACTCGCTGCTTTAGCTGAGAGCTCATCACCGCCTGTTTGATCGACTGTTGAAAGGTGACGGGTTCGCCGCTGTAATATGAGCGACACTGGTGCGCGATATTAATTAAAGCCGCTTACATTTAACGCTCGATTGGCCAAATGCGGCGCGATTCGCGGGAAAAGAGGCGGCGCGATCAATTAGCAGGACGCGCGAGAAACACTGCGTTGATTATTCGACCTCGTCCCCTGTTCAGCGGGGAAAAACAACAGCGTTCTAGCCTGACCAGTGGAGATGGACAAAAGTTACAACCAGTTCTGCAGTACACAAGACGGGTCTTCGAGGGTTCTCCAGTAAAGGCCATGGTTGTATTTGGAGCCATGCTTAAATGGTTCTCTGCATGGTGAGACGATTCTGAGATGGAGAATGTGTTGCATATGGAACCAAAAATAAGGTAACAGTTGAAGAACCCATTTTGGTGCGATACAGAACCATAAATAACAACATGCAAAGAAACATTTAAGCATGAACTGGTTCTATATAGGATCTATGCTTCTAAATAGAACCATTGCCCTTGCTAAAGAACCATTGAAGAACCGTTGTTAGCACCTGCTGTTGAATTAAAGTGTACAGAGCTGAATTAACACCGAAAGTAATACATAAACATGAATTACACCAATTAATTCAGATCTGTAGCGTTGAATTAGCACCTAAATCGTGGCGTAAACATCTCCAGAATTAAAAACTAGTGCTGACCAAAAAACCTAAACAACCCTAAACTGTTGCATTGACATCTACAGCTTTGAATCAAAGCCCACAGTGTTGGTTTCACTTTGTTTTTTTTAATAAAAAATATCTACACCGTTCAATTCAAAAATGTGCAGGACCTAATTATCACTTATGGGGACAAAGCCTGGTCTTAAATGATAAATGGTGAATCAACATTGGGGATTCTCTGTAACTCGCTCATAATAACGAATTACCGTGCAGTGTTGATAGGAGATAAAATGTATCAGTGGTGAATGAGCACATATAGATGTGGATTAAGCCTTAGTATTGGACTAAATTGCATGGATAGAGCTGAACCAGTATGGGACATTCTTTTTAGTTTAGTGTTAGACCTAATATGGCTCTAAGAAACTGACCCATGTCGAATGAACACACTGTTGCATTAACATGTACAGTGCTGAATTAAACCGTAATATCACCCGTGGAAATTCGTTTTAGCCTCGGTTTTGATTTAATCTGGTTCTGAGAAACTGGAAATAGTGTTGAATCAACATCCACACTGCTGCATTAACATGTACAGTGCTGAATGAAAACATCCAGCGTTGAATAAAATATAACAGTATTGAATTAACAAGTAAACAGATGGATTAGGCTTAGTTTTGAACCAAACTGGTCATTTTTAGCCTCAGTTCAGCCTTAATCTGGCTCTGAGAAATTGGAAATAGTGTTGCATTACATTTACAGTGCTGAAAACATCCAGGGTTGATAAAATAAAACAGTGCTGAATTAAACTCTAATATCACCAGTTAAAATTCTTTTTAGCCTCGGTTTAGACTTAATCTGGCTCTGAGAAACTGGTCAATAGTGCTGGCCGGTTGTCCAGGGTTGAAGTAAAACCCACAACACTGAGCTAGAATGAATGGACACATGTAGCGTCCAAAAGCGTGGTCATAAACACACACTGGTGGTGTTGCTGTGCTGTTTAGTCTACAAATAGGCCCCGTACTGTTAAAATAACCCTATAAACCAATAAGGAAAGATTCGGGGGTCTCCGGTCGCAGGTCCGGAGGTCTTACCCAGGCAGGAGAAGTTGAGCGGCTGGTGGCGGCTGCAGGGCTCGGGCAGCCCGGGCTCGGAGCAGCAGCAGTCCCCCGAGTCCTCAGCCCCACTGCACTCGTCCTCGGAGGACACGGACAGCGCGCGCTTCCTGGCCGCTCCCGCGGGGCTCTGCTCCTTCCCCTCGCTCGCCGTGCCCAGGATGGACTGGATGGTGAAGCTGGAGATGGGGGCGGCCGTGCACTTGCTTCCGCTGTCCTGAGAGTGGCTCATCCTCGCCTCATAACAGTGCGGCGCTCCGGCGCTTTACGGGACAATAAAAACGCGCTCGGTTTGTTCAGTTAAGGCTACATATAAAGAGGTTTTTAATAACAATAATAAAAAAAACAGCTTGGTTGTTTCTTTAAAAAAAGAAAAGAAAATAATAAATAAGTCCAGCAGAACGAGCGCGCGAGCTCTTGTTTATTTTTTTATTTTTCGTAAAGTGCCGTTTTCGTGCGCCTCGCACGCGGCCGAATGCATCGCGGTCCGCGCGCGCGCGCGCTCTGGGCTCCAAGGCTGCCGCGCGCGCGCCCTCATTTGCATGTAGGTAAGCGCGGCGCCGGCCAATAGCGCGCGCACAGCCTAGCCCGGAAATTTCAAAAACACACGCTGGGGAGGAAAGGGGGACAAAAAATAAAGAGGAAGGGGGGTGGGGTGTGGGGGGGCGGTGGACTCAGAGAAACAGCGCGAGCCCTTTCGGCAAACCGCACTTGTTACTGTTTATTTTAGTTATTCATTCACTTATTTGCTTATTTACTTACAACGTCCAAGTAATGTCAACAAAAATAAAGAACAATTAAGAACAATGGCTTAAGTATTTTTTTAAGCTCAGTTGCAGCATTTTGTGTATAGAGAAAGCATATAAATTAGAATGTCATATAAATTGTCTGATAAATTAATTATTTTTCATCGCTCCTGTTTTTAAGATTGCTAATTTCCTTCTTCTTAGAAGTGCTTCAAACGTGCGATTGTTGCAACAAATATTTAAAGATTAAGCCTATTTGTACATTCGTTTGAAGTTTATTCAAAAGAAAAAAAAAATCTGACATCTTGAGCCTGAGAGTTATACAAATATACAAGCTATGAAAAAAGCACTGCAGATGTTTAACTCGGGCTTAAGGTGTACATTTATGCTTAACTTGTGGTAGATATTTTAGAGAGTAGATGCATGTAGAACACTTACATGTGGTAGAGCTACACAATACAAACTGATGTCATTACAGTGAAAGGACCTAAATTAATCATTAACAATAAAAACACGGAGCGTAACTGTACTATAGCAATACAATGCAGCAATACGAACCTATGTTATTCGTTGAATCCATTGCTTGGACTAAAAAACTTTGCCTTCGTCTGGCTTGATTGAAATGTGTTTTCAGCTGAAATGTGAACCTGTATGCACATCTGCTTGAACTTTTAAGTAACATTAAGTCTTGGAGATCCTGCTCACCCTCACCCACCACCTGAACTCCATGGCCAGAACTCATACATCACATTAAACAGGCCTTTTAAATTCCACCAGGCTTCTGCTATAAATGGCAAATTGGTCAAACAATCCTGCATACAGTCTGGAACTAATAATGGATCCTCTCTCATTTTTCTTGAAAATAATAAACTCATTGCACGTCCATTATCTCCGTTTAAGAATTAATTTGATCATTATGGCGGGCTGAACTCCAGCGCGCGCGGGCGCGACCCGGCTAATTGATTGGCTAATTGATTGGAGGGTGTGCGCGCGCCTCCCGGCTCTGTGTGGGGGGTTGTGAGGGTGGGTTGGCT